ACAGTTGTTTTTATGGGGTTTTTTTGGTCTGTTTTTGTCGGTAAGGCCTGAACTCTGGGCCTGAGCGCTGTCCCTCAGCTCTTTAGCTCAAGGCTAGCGCTCTACCACTTGAGCCACAGCATCACTTCCGGCTTTTTCTGCTTATATGGTGCTGAGGAATGGAACCCAGGGCCTCATGCATGCAAGGCAAGCGCTCTACCACTGAGCCACCTTCCCAGCCCTGAGAATCAGTTTGAAGCCAGCCTCTGTGACACTCTCATCTCCAAAAAGCCAGAAGTGAAGCTGTGGCTCAAGGGTCACAGCACTAGCCTTGAGCAAGAAAGCTCAGAGATAGCACCCAGGCCTTTAGTCCAAACCCCAGAAATGGCACAAAGGAAAAAAAAATATATGTGACTATGATCTCTCTCTCTCAATAATCAAGACAAAATATTAACATTTTCTGACTGCAGCTAGTCCTGGATAACTGAAACCAAAGAAAGCGGAAAAAAAAGAGGGGAATATTATAACTTGAAATTTAAATAAAAGAGCTTTTCTAAATGTTAAGACCTTTAGTTAAAAAAAACCTTAAAAACTTAAAAACTATTCTCTCCAAAACAATTACTGTAAGAAATTAAGACCTAAAAAATGAGAAAAAATCCTATGTTCATAGACAAAACAACTCAGTACCAGTGCTGAGGATATAGCTCAGTGGGAGAGCATCACCACAAAACAAAACAAAACAAGTGATGTAAATTGAAACTGCTCAAATTAGCCTACAGATTCAACACAATGACTATGGAAGTTACAGCTAAGTTCTTTGCAGAAATTGTGACACTGCTTCTCTAATTTATTCCCAGAACACTAAACAGTCAATACAATCTTACAAAACAAAAAAGTTGAGCCAGGTGATGTGGCCCATGCCTATAATCCCAGAAGTAGGTAACTCTTGATTCTGAGGCCAGTTAGGGCAGTTTGAGACTCTATCTCAACACACCAGAGCTGGAGGTGTAGCTCAAATGATAGAGTAGTTAGGCCTTGGATTTAATCATCAGCTTGGTGGGAGATGGAAGATGACAAGAGAAAGGTTGAGACAGGTGGGAAGAAGATACAGGCATGTAATACAGCACTCTGGAGAATAAGGAAAGGATCCTAAATTTGAGGCCAGCCTAGACTGCATGGTGAGGCACTTATAACAGCAAAAAAAGAAAGTTGGAAGGCTCATAATTCCCGATTTAAAAACTGGTAGATACTAAGATAGGCTAGACATACAAATGAAAGAACCAAGGGAGGGTCTGGAAATTATCACATACATATATGCCCAACTTATTAATACCAAGAACACTAAGACCATTCAATGGAAAAACAATAGTCATTTCAACAAAAAGTGCTGAGACAGAAGAGTATCTACACACTAAAGAATGAAGCACTCCTACCTCACAGCATACCAAAATTAACAGAAAACAGAGTAAGGTGTGGAAACATATTTAGAATCCCAGCACTCAAAAGGCTGAGATAGGAAATTAGTGAGTTAAAAGAGTCTAAAAGAATGGACTACGTGTTTTTACAGGATATAAATACTGAAAGCAATAGCTTCTTGCCATACTGTTGAAAGAAGGGCAAGGGAGCCACAAGAAAGTTTACTGAGTAAGTTCGAATATGTACTCTTGAATAAAATCGAATTACTGTGAAAATTAATACAAGAACTGAGTATATAGTGGTACATACTGGCAATCCCAGCCCTGAGGAGGCAGATGTAGATGTAGGAGAATCCCAGGCCAGCCTGACCTACACACAAAGTTCCAGGCCAGCCTGGGCTACATAAGGACCCTGTTGTAGCCTTCAAAAGATATTAAAACAGTAATGCACAATTATTTATACATGAAGTGTTACATACAATATTTGTTTTTAAATAATCCAGCATAGGAGAATGAAAGAATAAAAGAAACTAGCTTGGTAATTTCTAAAGCCTAGAAAAAGGCACGAGGAATACATTTTATTCTATTTTTATGTATTCTTTATCTGTCTAAATTAGAGGTTAAAAAATAACAATGGGATGGCATAGATTAAATACTTCATTAAACAACCAAATAACTTTTTGTCATACCTGTGTCAAAAATACCAAAAAGGAACAGCTCACACATATAATCCTAGCTACTCCAGAGATTGAGAACAGGAGCACTGAGGTCTGAGGCCAATCTGGGCAGAAAGGTTCAAGAGACCTTATCTCATAAGCAATCAACAACAAAAAAAAATGGTATGAGGTGTTGCTCAAGTGGCACAGCACCAGCCCAGCAAACACAAGACCCAAAGTTCAAATCCCAATCCTACCAAAATATAAAAAAATAATAATTTTATAAAGAAAAGAACATGACACACTTAAGACATTGCTTTTTGGCTGGGAAGGTGACTCAGTGGTAGAGTGCTTGCCTTGCATGCATGAGGCCCTGGGTTCAATTCCTCACACCACATAAAGAAAAAAGCCAGAAGTGGCGCTGTGGCTCAAGTGGAAGAGCGCTAGCCTTGAGCTGAAGAGCTGAGGGACAGCGCCCAGGCCCAGAGTTCAGGCCCCATGACCGAACCCCCCCCCCCAAAAAAAAAAGACATTGCTTTTTATATGCAATCTTATAAGGGCGGTTTTAAATAGTTAAGTATCTTCTCAACCAAACCAAAAAATTTGTTAACAGGTAGATTTAGGCACAAACATGTAAAGATACATATTAGATGCTTTTCCTATAACTCAATAAAATTTTTTAAATAATAACACCTTTTTCATTTCTTTCTCCTGCTTGATAAGCTCCATGATTATGACACTCTTGTTTGTTAGCCAGGAAATGGATTGGTCAGGACAAATGACTCTACAACACAGAACAGGAATTAAAAACCCAGCTAGAGCCAGGTGCTGGTGGCTCAGGTCTGTAATCCTACTCAGGAGGCTGAGATCTGAGGATCTATATTCAAAGCCAACCCTTGGCAGGAAAGTTCGTGAGACTTTTTTTTTTTTTTTTGTCAGTCCTGGTACTAGTCTTGAGCAAAAAAGTTCAGGGACGTGCTAGCACCTAGGCTGAGTTCAAGCCCCCAAAACAGTACAGATGCATACACACAAACACACACACCTATCTACCTACCTAGAAATTGGTGGCTCTTGGGGCTGGGAAGGTGGCTCAGTGGTAAAGAGCATGCCTTGCATGCCTGAGGCCCTGGGTCCGATTCCTCAGCACCACATAAGCAAAAAGAAAAAAGCCAGAAGTGGCACTGTGGCTCAAGTGGTAGAGTGCTAGCCTTGAGCTGAATCGCTGAGGGCCCAGGCCCAGAGTTCAGGCCCCATGACCGGACCCAAAAAAACAAACAAACAAAAAAAGAAATTGGTGGCTCTCACCTATAATCCTAGTAACTGAGGAGGCTGAGCTTTGGAGGATCATTGTTCAATGCTAGCCTAGGCAGAAAATTCCAAAAGACTATAAAATAATCACTAAAAAGACAGGCTGGAGATGTGGCTCAAGTGGTAGAAAGCCAGATAAGCAAACAAGCCCAGCAGCTGGAAGGCCTAAGTTCAAACCCAATACTCCCCTCACCCCCCAAGAAGAGTAAACATTTTCTGCTTCACAAAAAACATTTCGAAACCTTTCTCTCTACAGACTATAGTTTTAAGAATATTTAAGTTTCAGAACTGGAGACATGGCTCAAGTGGTAGAGCACCTGTCAGCTGTGAGCAAAAAAGAAGGCAAGAATAAGAAGCCCTGATTTCAAACCTCAGTACTGGCACCAAAAAACAAAACAAAACAAAAAACTACTTTGAATTTTGTTCATACTAATGTATTTTATATGTTCTAAATTATACTGTCAAAACAATTTAGCTGATTCGAAAGGAAAAAAGCAAGTTTATTAAGCCAGACACTGCCTATATTAGGCATTTTAATATACACTAGCTAACTAAACTTGAAATATCTGTTTCTATAGAAACAATATTAAAGTTTAGAGAAGTAAAATCACTTGCCCCAGGTCAGAGCCAATATGTTGCTAAATTGGTATTCAAACTAAAGCTCAATTATAACACCCACTTTCCCCCCCACAATGCTTACTGGAGTACCTCTAAGGAAGGAAAAACCTATACCCAAGTCAAACTTGAATTCTTACGGCCTTATTTAAGTGGGTCATAAAATGCCTAAGTTACTGGTTACGCACACACACACACACATATATATATATATATATTTCATAGTGACAGAACTTGGCTTTGGATAAGGAATACTAACTGAAACACAGAAAGCATTGTTTCTGCTGCTGTGGGCCTTTTTTCCCCTCAAAGTCTTTTAATTTCAGCCTATTTTTTCATTTCTATAATATCCTTGTTACCCAATACAATGATTATAAGATTCAAAGATGATAAACATAAAATCTACAAAATCTATAAAAACAAGAGTATTTAATAAAGTGTTTACTAAAAACAAAGTTTCTATAATAATTTTCAGCTGTTTATTTTACAGAAAGTAACATTTTCAAAACTTTCTTAAGTCCCTTTTTTCTACACATAACTTAATTGTCTTGTTACTTGGCTTTTCTTATCCTTAAATATAGTGCAATAGTAGTAATATCAACGCTATCATAAATAATATACTTACTTTGAAATACACAGAATTTTTTAAATTCAAAATTTTCAAACTATGTGTTTGGTGTCACAATCAAAATTATTAATCCATCTTAATGTCTGGGCCTTTGCACATTTAGTTTGTATATAAAAAGATAGAATTAAGATCTGGAATTCTAAAGTAGAACACCCAACACATAATTTTATATGATTTTTGAGAATTTTTTTCAAGCCTTTTCAAAGCAGATTCCACAGCCAATAAGCACTTCAAGCACAGCAACAAAATCCACTGAAATATTTAGCTGCTCTAAAAGAAGGATCAGGCTCGTTAGGAAAAACTACATTGTGTGAGTCTGCAAAGTTTCCAGCTTTCCAATATAAACTAAGAAAACCTTTGCATACTAACACAATATGCTTTAAAATGCACTTTGCTGACCTTCCAATAGTCCAGCTCTATGAAAATTCTGTGATGGGTGTAACTTCAGAGAATCTGAAAAACACAAAAAGCATTAAGTACTTTTTATGCTGAATAAGAAAAAAATGCCAAGTATAGCATACATCTCTTACATAACTACCATGTATTTTTGAGAGCTAAAGCCCATATTTGTGAATTTATTCACTGCAAAAGGTCGAGTGCTTCCACACTGTTCTCCAGGCTAAACTTAGACTTTGATAAAGTATTTGTTTCATGGAAAATTATCTGAAGATTACTGCTCAAATGGTGTTAGTGTCTTTATTTTTAGCACCCAATTGTACTACATTAGTCCTAGTCTAAGAACCATCTCTTGATAGTGATCCTTCCTCCTGACGCTCAAAACTACGATATTTCCAGACTACTTCAGGTAATATCTGAAAAACATCCTACCGGATGGTGACTGCCAACTAAAGCCATTAGAGCAACAGACAATGGCTTCAGTTACTAAGTAGGACTCTGTGTACAAACTCAATAGTCTATAAAGTCCAGTGCCTTCCTGTGTAAACCATGTCATTCTAATTCACTTAAATTCAAATTTAAATGTGAAGCTCGAGCACAGAATCAACTGAATAGATACATAAAACCAAAAACAAGAGGATTGCTGAAATTTCTCAGGAAAGGGGTTCACAGTGTCACATACTTAATCTTTAAGATGAAATGAAGAGCTAACCCAGTTCCATCTCTTATCCTATGCCAGGGTAAAAACTGGTGATCGATGCAGTGAGTGCATTTTTTGTGAGATGCCCCTTACACAGAGAACCTGTTTTGACACATTCTTGTGTCAAGTATAGGAATTTGAGCCCAGTAGGGATCACCTCAAAGAGTTAATATTTTAGATGATGGGAATCCCCTGCAGGCCTTAGCCAGCAAGAGTTTTTAAATGGGAATCTCTGTCCAGTGCCCCCTCTCTGCAAGGAGCCCTTGAACGGCAAAGAAGAGAAAATTCTCAGAGGACGGCGTCTGTGCCTGAACCTGGCACTCCAGGGAGAGAGATGAGGAACAAAACTAATCCAGAAAAAAAGCTCCCCAATCTTTGTAAAAAGAGAGGGAGAAGTAAGTTTATTCGAATGCCACGGAGGTGGCAAAAAAAAAAAAAAAAAGAAGAAGAAAGAAAAAGAGAGAGAAGAAAATTCGGGCCCTTTCCAGCAAGAAGATGACGAGGAAAGGAAGAACGCCTGGGTCGAGGGGGGCCGTCCCGACATGGGGAGGGAGTGGACTAGGCCCAGAGCAAGAGCTGGGTACAACCACGGCGCACAAACAAGCCGAAAAGGGGAGGAAAAAATGGATGACGGTGACCCCGGAGCCCGTTCCCCGCCTCGAAGCTCTGTGGGGAGGATCGGAGAAGGGGAGCAACTTTACTGGGAAGCAGAGCCGGGGGGTAAGCGCGGCGGCCCCGGCGCGGGGCCCAGTCCAGGGTGATCCCCGAGCTGGGGAGGACGGCGGGGGGGGGGGGGGGGGCGCGGGGGGGAGGCCTGGGCGGGCAGCTCGCGGAGGACTGGGGGGGGGGGGTGGGAGTGGGAAGGGGGGAGGGGGGAGAGAGAGGTCGAAACGGCCCCAGAGCTGCAACTCCGTACCCCGCCCCCCCATCCCGGTGCCGCAGAGACCCCCGGGGCGCCGACGGAACCCGGGGCCTCCCCAGGCGCCTCCGCGGGGGAGGGGCCGCCACTCCTCCGCCGGCGCCGCCACCATCCGCGCGACCCCCCAACTCCAGCCAGGACTTCCGGGGTGCTGAGGTGGCCGGCGCGGGACGAGGACCCCCCCCCCTCCCCTCACACACACACACGGGGGGGGTGTCTCCCGGAGCCGGCTCGGCCCCCCCCACCCCCCCCACCGGACTCACCTCGCGAGTACAGGGACTTGGGCGACTCCAGGTCTAGGTCCGCGCTGAGCAAAGAGATGAAGTCCGAGGGCATCGCAGCTCGACCCAGCCCGGCCCGAGGGCGGCGGGAGGGGGGGAGCGGCGGTGGCGGCGGCACCTCCTCTCCGGGACCGCGGGCACCGAACCGGGGGTGGCGAGGCGAGGGCGGCTGCCGCTGCCTCCTCCTCCTCCTCCTCCTCCTCCTCCTCCTCGAGGGCAGCGACTTCCACCGGGCCGAAGACCGACGAAACGGCGGCGTGGATGGAGGGCAACTCCACAGGGACTAAGTCCCGACGAGCCGAGAGAGAGCGAGAAAGAGAGAGAGAGAGAGGTTCAGGGCGGGGAGAAGGTGGGGGAAGAGGGGAGAGCCAACGGGTCCGTGTCGGGCTTCTCCTCAGCGAAAACTGACGGTCGCAGCCGCCGCCGCCGCCGCTGACAGGAATCTGAGCCCCGCCCCCGCGCGCCACTGCGCAGGCGCGGAGGGAGGAGATTCAGAACTGGGAAGAGCGGCCGCGGCCGCCGGAGGGCGGAGAGGCGCGCCAAGGAACAGCATCAACAAGGGCTTCGCTTCCTGCCGCCGCGGCCGGGGATGGCTGCTGCTACTGCTGCTGCTGCTTGCTGCTGCTGCTTGCTGCTGCTGCTGCTGATCCCGAGCCGGGAGTTGGGCCCCGCCGGCGGGGAGGGCGGGAGGAAGGGAGGCCGGGTGGCGACGGCGCGCTGGGGCCCCGCGCAGGGAAGAGATGTGTGCACCGACCTGGTGGCGGCGAGCTTGAGGCGGCCGGCCCCGCTCGCGCTGGGCACGGGAGGACACCGGCCCTGGGGAGCCGACATGTTTGCCGGGGAGGGAGAGAGGGACCCCAGAGAAACGCCGGGCGACTGGCGGGGGGGGGGGGAGGGGGAGGGCAGGTGTCGGGGGGAATGGAGTTTTATCATCTGGACCGACACCAACCCTTTTCTTTGGGGGATGGGGGTGGTCATAGCAGGGTCTGCAATGAGCTGGCCAGAGGATTGTCCAACTCATTTGTTAATTAGAAAATAGCCAACCATTTCCGAAACCGCCCCCCCTCCAAGTTATTGGTGCTTTTTAATTAAAGTACTTTCTACCTTGTCCCCTAGCCTTGAGAGAAAGAATATATATATATATATACATACATACATACATATATATACCTTTTCTTTTTTCAAAGAGTCCTCTGATTATGCTACATCGCCCACATTTCCTCAGCGTGGAAAATAGCAGATAATTTAAAAATTGGATCATGTGAATCCGCCTGGCTCTTATAAAGGAAAAAGCAAACCTAAAACACTCCTCTTCCAAACAGGTTTTTCCTTTTTTTTTTTTTTTTAACTTTGGGATTAGGCGAGGGTGGAGGAAGAACACGTCAATGAGTTTTTTTGCTATTCTGTTCATGGGGGCCAAATGTTTCCGTTGCAAAAAAAAAAAAAAAAAAAAACCCACCCTAAAATCCTCACCTACACTGCAGACTGTTTCCTGATAATAATAGACTTCTGGGAAATTTGTAATCAAGTTATTAAAATATCAATTGGACCACAGGGTGTGCATCTTGGGAAATAATTTTAATCTTGTCTGGGATATTGATGCCAGCAAGGTTTGGGGGCTATTGGAGACGGTTTAGTTGTTGTTTTTTAATCTACAAAGACAATTAGAATTTTTTCTTGAAAAGTTCTATTCTATATATACATATAATTTACCAAGCTTTTCTCCCGTTAATTCGTCAGCCTCATTCCCAGCATCTCATCTGGGCTTGTGGTGCTGGACTTAGCACTTCTAGCAAAAGATGACCCAGCTGTAGCTCACACCTGTAATCCTAGATACTAAGAAGGTTGAGATCTAAGGATCTTGGTTTGAAGCCAGCCAGACAAGAATGTCCCAGAGACTCATCTCCAATTAACAAGCAAAAAGTCAGAAAGGGAGCTGTGGTACAGTGGTAGAGTGCTAGCCTTGAGCAAAAAGCCCAGGGGTAGCACCCAGGCCCTAAATTCAAGCCCTAAAATTAGCACACACACAAAAAAAAAAAACACCAAAAACTTGACCCAGTACAGTCATGGGTGGGCCTTTTTCCAAAGCTTTACCTGCAGACCTAGAATTTAACCTTGTGTCATCAAAACCTGTCTATCTTTCTATCTGGACATCTGATTGAGGTTGCTCAATTATCTTCACTGAACTCTGTGTAGTAATTAATCAATGCTGTGAACATTTTACTTCTGTGAGAGGTGAGAAAGATTTTTAGAACCACCCCCAAGATGGCAAAGCAAAACTGGAAACTACCTCCAAATTTCTGTAGACTTGTAACAAGTCCCAAGGGAAGTCCCTCCATTACTAAGAAACCCACTCTCACTAGAGAGGGGAAGGTTCAGACCTCACACTGTCTAACAGGCCAAGGCCTATTGAAATCTAATGAGCCTTTGAGCTGCAGTGAACACCTGTTAAGAGATCTCCCCCCCCCCCCCTATTGATCACCACATAATACAAAGGGGAAATTGCAATGCAGCAGGCAGAGCCCCAACACTAAGAAAGCCATTCCTTTTCTTTTTTAATATATATTTTTTATTGTAAAGATACTGTACAGAGGGATTACAGTTACAAGAGCAAGGTAATGAGTCCATTTCCTATTGAGCATTGTTATACTCTCCTTTATATTTCCCCTACCATCCCTTTCCTCCCCACCTCCCCAACTCCTCCCCACCTCTCTCCCCACCTCCCCTCCAAGTTGTAAAGTTAGTTTTCAACATACTGTCTTGTGCATCTTGTTGTTACAATGAGTCATCCTGTATCCTTATTTCAGCATTTTGTTATTTCCCTTCCCCTCCCCAAATTAGAGAAATGTATATACAAGATGCAGGACACCAGAATCATATACAGTGACAACAGGGGTTGTACCATGGGGGAGGAACATACAAAAGAAACAAAAAAAAAAAATCACATAGTATATTATATAAGTACATTAAGCCATTCCTTTTCTTCAGACTTAGGCAATCATATAGTGTTCTGCCCCTTATTAACAAATCAAGAAGTGGGGCTGGGAAGGTGGCTCAGTGGCAGAGCGCTTGCCTTGCATGCATGAGGCCCTGGGTTCGATTCCTCAGCACCACATAAGCAAAAAGAAAAGAGCCGGAAGTGGCGCTGTGGCTCAAGTGGTAGAGCGCTAGCCTTGAGCTGAGGGACAGTGCCCAGGCCCAGAGTTCAGGCCCCACAACCGGACCCAAAAAAAAAATAAAAATAAAAAAATCAAGAAGTGGCTAGGCCCCTTCCACTTCCTCTCAATACTCTGCCCTTTGATAACATTTTCCCCCACACTATGCCATATTGTTTATATTAATTAGATTTCCCCTGATTAGGTGGGAGCAAAATGAAGGACAACCCAAAGTATGACTTGGCACTTATTGTGAATTCCCTTAGATCAGATTTCCCGGGCTCAGGCCCCACCCTTTTAGACCCTGCATTGAAACTGATTATATCTAAGTAAATATTTGAAAATTCAGTGTTCCCCTCCCCACCCTCATTGTGTCCTTTTTCAGACATACATTCTTTGAAAAACTGCTTAGATGGATGATTTTTATGGCCATGTTTTGCAGCAACATAAAAACCTAGATTTTCATTTTGTCTTTCAAATTTCAGTGACTAAAAACAAGTTTGTTCATATTTGCTGTCTTCTGATTTTAAAAAAAAAATACCATGACTTACATTATAGTCAAGGTCTGATCATGGTGTCTATAGTAAATTATATGCCACTTTTAGATCCAATGCTATTTCCTTCTGTGGTCATTTATGTGGTCATTTATCTCCTTTTTTATAGAAGTAGTGTTTTGTTTTGTTTTGTTTTTATGCTGGTACTGGGGACTGAACTGAGGGCCTGGGAAGTATCCTTTAGCTTTTTCACTCAAGGCTGAGCAAACACTTCTGCCTTTTTGGTGGTTAATTATTGATAAGAGTCTTAGAAGCATAGTGCCAGTGGCTTACATCTGTAATCCTAGCTACTCAGGAGGCTGAGATCTGAGGATCATGGTTCTAAGCCAGCCAGGGCAGAAAAGTCCCCATGAGACTCTTATCTCCAATTAACCACTCAAAAACCAGTAGTGTGTTGTAGCTCAAGAGGCTCAGGGGCAGCACCCAGGTCCTAAGTTCAATTCTCGTTACCAACAAAAAAAAAGTCTTATAGACTTTTCTTCCCCTGCTGTTTTTGAACTGCAACTCAGCCTCAGCCTCCATATAGCTAGTATTACAGGTGTGAGCCATTGGCGTAAAGCCAAATGATGTATTTTAACAACAGCCCATCGTCCACACTTCATAAAACAATGAAATGCACAATGAAAAAAAAGTAAAATGTTTAAAGCTAAAAATTTGGAAATTTCCTCTCCTTGAAAATTACAATAGGATCATAGAACAAAGCATACAGATTTAGTAGTTTGTAGAATTCCTTTATATTTTTACTTCCCAATCATATATCACATTCCCTACTCACTTGATTAAAATTTCACAAGAACCCAGGTTCAACTACAAGATCATATACAGATGATGCAATAGTGTGGCAGTTTTTATATTGGCAGTGAGTTCTTTAACCTCTCCTGGACCTGTTTAGGCACTTTGTGAATTGGGTAGTTGGATCAACTCTCAATGAAAGAGGGTCAAATATCAACCACTGAAAAGGAATTAAACTACAGAACAATGTGTTGTCTCAAGATCTACAGAATCTTTGTCATTGTAATACAATTAAGGCTGCTAAAATAATTTTAGTCACACATACAATCTGAAGAACCTGCTAAACACAAAATCTGAAAGGAAAATTTCCAGAGCAATTCAAGTAATAAACTAAAAAAGAAAAAGTTTAGACCGCAAATTATTTTGGCCCCACATTGGAACACTCCTTGATAATCATGGAGAATTGATAGTGGTGGGAAAGAGTAGTGACCTCATTTGTGCTGAAATGATAAATACATTCTTGTTTGGTTATATTGATGTGTCAGTTTTCACCCTAAGAATAGGTTGTAGCAAATACTTCTGAAGGAAAAATTAGTTTCCATACTACCTCTGTGTGTGTGTGTGTGTGTGTGTGTGTGTGTGTGTGTGTGTGTGTGTATACTGGGACTTAAATAAAGGGTCTTGGAGGTGTCTCTTAGTTTTTTTAGTCAAGGCTAGCATTCCACTATTTGAGCTTCAGCTCTGCTTCCAGCTTTCTGCTGGTTAACTGGAGATAACAGTCTCATGGAGCTGAGTGCCGGTGGCTCATGCCTGAAATCCTAGCTATTCAAGAGGCTGAGATCATAGTTTGAAGCCATCCCAGACAGGAAAGTCCATGAGACTCTTTTTTTTTTTTTTTTTTTCCGGGGCGGGGGGGGGGGGGGGGGGTAGTCCAGTCGTGGGGCCTGAACTCTGGGCCTGGGTGCTGTCCCTCAGCT